GGGAGAATAATTCACTAGAAGACTCATCACCTTCCTTCTTTGAATTTGAATCTTCAGTGTCTACTCCTTCACCTGAGTCAGTGTCTCTTCCTCTTGTTCCTGTTCCCAATGTGTCTATGTCTGATCCTCCTGTGACTGATCTTCCTATGACTGATACACAACCCACATTGCCTCAGCAGCAACCTCAATCGTCTGAACCACTGGTAAGTCCTGAATCTCATATTTCTGATCATGATACTTCTGATGACTTACCCATTACTACTGATTCTGATGATTTACCCATTGCTCTTAGAAAAGGAAAAAGATCATGTCCCAATAAATCTTGTTCCTCTTGTACTCAATACCCTATCTCCCATTTTGTTTCCTCTGCTAATCTGTCTATGCAGCACAAAAGCTTTGTTTCAGCACTAGACTCTATTGCAATCCCAAAATCAGTACATGAAGCCTTAAAATATGGGAATTGGGCTCAAGCCATGCAAGAGGAGATGAATGCATTGGAGAAAAATAAAACATGGGAGGTTATTGATAGACCTACTGGAAAGAAAGCAGTAGGGTGCAGATGGGTTTATGCTCTGAAATATAATTCTGATGGAACTCTTGAGAGATACAAAGCTCGATTAGTTGCCAAAGGTTACTCTCAAACCTATGGCATTGATTATGAAGAAACATTTGCTCCAGTTGCAAAGATGAATACGGTGAGAGTTTTGTTATCCCTTGCTACCCATTACAATTGGGATATAAACCAATTTGATGTGAAGAATGCTTTCCTCAATGGTGAGTTAGAAGAAGAAGTCTATATGGAAATTCCGCCTGGTTTTGATTCTGTGAACGGAGAAAATAAAGTTTGTAAATTAAAAAAGGCCTTGTATGGATTGAAGCAGTCACCTCGTGCCTAGTTTGGAAAGTTTACTAAGGTTATGATGACCTTAGGATATAAACAAAGTCAAGGAGATCACACTCTTTTTTTCAAGCACTCCCAAAATGGGAAGCTTATTGTGCTCCTTGTATATGTTGATGATATTATTATCACAGGTGATGATTTTGTGGAGAGACAGATTCTGCAAACACGACTTGCCTCTGAGTTTGAAGTCAAAGACCTTGGGAAACTGAGATATTTCCTAGGGATAGAAGTAGCTCATTCGAGCAAAGGAATCTTTATCAGCCAGAGGAAATATGTTCTTGATCTTCTCAAAGAAGCAGGAAAGCTCGGGTGTAAACCCTCTAATACTCCTATTGAGCAGAATCACAAGATGTGCTATGAAGAGGAGAGTCCTCCAGTTGATAAAGGACAATATCAACGGCTAGTTGAGAAATTGATATATTTGGCCCATACTAGACCAGACTTAGCTTATGCTGTTAGTGTTGTCAGTCAGTTTATGCACGATCCAAAGGAGAAACATATGCAGGCAGTAGAGAGAATTCTTTAGTATCTGAAAGGTACTTCTGGTAAAGGGCTGTTATTTCGACGTGATGACAATCTATCTTTAGAAGTCTACACAGATGCTGATTATGCTGGATCCGTGACTGACTCTTGTTCTACCACTGATATTTTGCATGTTTCTTTGTGGTAACTTGGTGACATGGAGAAGTAAGAAACAAGATGTGGTCGCCAGATCAAGTGCAGAAGCTGAATTTCGAGCTATGGCTCAAGGCATTTGTGAGTTACTGTGGCTGAAAATTGTACTTGATGATCTAAAAATAAAATGTGAGGGACCTATGAAGCTGCTATGTGATAATAAGTCCGTTATTTGTATAGCTCATAATCCAGTTCAACATGATCGGACTAAACATATTGAGGTCGACCGCCATTTCATCAAAGAGAAACTTGATAGCGGGTTGATTACCACTCCATACATTCCCACTGGGCGTCAATTAGCTGATCTATTGACAAAAGGGCTTCCTTCAGATAGATTTCAAGAACTTGCTAGCAAGCTGGGAATGATAAATATCTATTCCTCAGCTTGAGGGGGAGTGTTGTAAATAGTAATTATGTAGTCATTTATTAGTAATTATGTAGTCATTTATTTGTATTTATTTAGTCCGTTATTTATATATTGGGCCAAGCCCATTAGGTCAAAATTAGGTCAAGAAGTCTCTATAAATAGAGACCCCTACGTACAGATTCAAAAAAATATCAATAATATTTTATAACCCTTCTTCAAGTCAAACGCAACCCTAGAGGATAAAGATGAAAAATGAGCAAACTCAATGACCGGTTCAGCTAATTAAATCTTTGAATTTCATGATCATAATTATTCTAAAACTGCGTGCACCGATTGAATTTTGAAGAATAATCCAGCATCTTTGCGATAATATACCAAGAAATGATTGACATAAAATATCAAGAAAATAACAAAATCCAACTAATTGAAACAAAAAAAAAAAAGACAAGTGATTTTTTCTCATTTTCTGTTTTAACATTTTTTCTTAAGATATTGTGCTGATGATCACTTTTCGAAAAGAGTTATTAACTTACTATATAATATTACTCAAAGCACTTTGCATAACCTTCGAATATGTTGAAACTGTAAAGTTTGAAGTTCCGTAGGGTATGCTAGTTACTGAAGGAAATAAAGTTTTTCTTTTTGAGCTTGTCCAAAGATTAATAAGTGATGGTTTGACTAGGTTATGTTCGCTAACACTACTTGATTTGCATATTGAACAAGGCTGACACATAAGAATATTTGGAGTATAACGCACGAGATATCTACATATTTGCTTCTCTGTATTGGCGAATATTTATTTTAACCGCATAATATATGCTATTAACCAAATAATCAATTCATGTAAAAATGATGTAAAAAATGGGCTAAGCAAAATGATGTAAAAAATGTGTATGAAAAAAACTTTGTTGATAGAAACAAAATCCACTTCGATAATCTCTATGTTTTGAGAAGATTAATTTCCGACTGTCAAGCATTGAAATATCCCTGAGTTATACTAAAAAATGGGCTAAGCATATCAATGTTGAATAGACAATTCCAGAACCACATAAAATTTTGTGTCCCCTTGCTATGTACGTATCTTTCTTCATCTTGCGAGCCAAAATTTGACAAGAGATTGTGAAAAGGTGGAGAGCAGAGACATCAATTAAGCAACTTTCCTTATCAAAGTCAAAACTGAAGAGATCAATTGTAGGGCAAATAGGCCAATTACAGGACCAAATAAAAACTAAATATCAGCCCAGTCGCACTGCGTAGGCCCATACACAGGAAATTCAATTTTTCATTTAGTCACCAATTACTTCAGGCACATGGTATATTTATCATCAAAAAAATTTATCACTTTTATGATCAATTTAATCACTGTTAATTTTTGTCAATTTAACAATTATAATTTATTATATTTATTGAAAATTAATAATTTATTAATAAATAAGACCCAACAATTTCTAATAAATTATAATCATTAAATTGACTGAAATCAACAGTGATTAGATTGGTTGTAAATGTGATAAACTTTTTTGGTGGTCAGTATATCCTGCCCCTTTACTTTCAAATATAAAAATATAATAACTAATAAGATTAATCTTTAAAAGATATAGATCAGTTATATAAGTCTTTAAATGATGAAAATTACGTTAAGGGAAATTTTTGAGTCAAATTAGTCCTAAAGTCAAGAACTTCAAAATTTAATTTAAATAACGAAATACATACTTAAATAATTAAATTGATCGACTAAATACATATTTCGTGTCTACGATGAATGTAATTTCCATCTTTTAAGAATTAATATTGTTCTGGATAGGCCCAACAACGCGGCAGCCCAAAGGTCTGAGCCCAATCTTAACTCATTTCCACGTCAGCCCTACCTCAACCCCCTTTCCACGTCAGCCCTACCAACCGTCAGCTCCCCAACCTCCAAAGCGACGACACTCCCTAGAGGAAACACAAAAATGTCCTATCTTGGGACCCTAACCCTCAATGATGATCGCCCCAGTTGTCACAAGAGGAAACTACCCTTTGTCACACGCTAACACCGTCAGACACTGGGGGGCGCGTCACTGCTATCATAGCAACGCCTGTCACGCCCAGCACCGTCTATCGTCTGCCACCCCTGGCATATCCCAAGGAGAGTTGACCCTCTTCTCACCAACCCTCAGAAGGTTCATAGCACCTTCCCCTATAAATAACCCCCTTGACAAAGAAGATATCTTATGTATCGTTATTCTGCCCATTTATTATGAGTTACACCATACCCACACCGAATCTTCCATTGTTATTAGCTTGCTTAATACTTTGAACAATACTTCTAGCCTGGTCTTTACCTTCATTAGAGGTATCACCCATACAGTGACTCCATCACTAAAGGAAACATAGTGGGCTTATAGATCCTAACAGTACAAATATAGTTGACATTATATTTTTTAAAAGTTAATTTAACTATTTACTCAAATATAAATATAACAATATTTATATTTAAATAAATAAAGTGCGTGATTAATATGGCATTAACTATTAAAAAGATAGTAAAAGCAAAAGGAATTTAAAAGATAAAACATTTTTTTGGTAGTTAATAATATATGGTTGTGTTTAATTTTAGCAGTAGAAAATTAGTTAAACATATTTTTACAAAGTTTTTTTATTATTAAAAGATTTTTTTATTATAATAATAAATAAAAATAAAAAATAAAAAAATTGTCGAGAGGAACTTTTGTAAAATATATATATATATATTAGATATTTATTTTTTTCATTTTTTTTTTCAGTTTTTTTTTATTCTAAATTTATATTTATCAATTTTATCTTAATAATTCATCCTAATAATAAAATATTTTTTTCTTTTTCAAAACCTTCAAAATATCTTTATATTATCACCAAACCCATTGTAACTTTATTTTTGAAGTTTTTTTTTTTTTTTTTTTAATGATAGGGGTAATAAAATTTTACCGTGATGTGAATGAAAATTTGATTCAAAATAAAAAATAATTTTGATAGAAAGGGTTAAAAAAAAAAAAGGTATACCAAAACGGTGGCGTTTACGGGCTTCTTCTTCTTCAGTGTATATTGGTAGGGTTCGCAGTGTTGCAGCTAATTTGCCTTCATTTCTTTGACTATCACAGTGACAGTCACACTCGCAGGAGAACGCAATTCGACGTAGTTTCGTTTCGGAAATTGGTGAAATCGAAAGGTATCAATCATGTTTCGTTCATTGCGCTACTCATTCGCATCATTCAATTCATATTTATCTGAACCCCTTTTTCTCTTCTTTTTTCTTTTTTTAATTTTTGTTTAGTATCTAATGGCTTTGCGAGGGGTTTGGCAACTTCAGAAGCTGATTGTCAGCTATAGCGACTGGGGCGGAAGTAGCAGAGGTATAAGGTACAAATGCAATCCCATTATGTTCATTTTCATATTTGTTTTCTTGGAGACATAAAAGTTTTTATTTTTATTTATTTCTGGGTATTTGGGTTTATAGATTTTTCTGGATTACTATCCGTTTTGCTCTTCTTATTTGTTTATAGCATTGCAATTAATCTCTGGGGGTTATATTTGTGAGTTCTGAAGGGATGGTGTGGAATGGTTCATAAATGATCTGGTCATCATGGTTCATATATGATGATATATAATATAATGAGTAGATAGCTGGTATTTCTTCCAGGACTTAACAATTGAGATTGTTTACAGTATTATATAATTACATATCTTCTGATAATAACAAGGTTTTGATTGGACTTGTGTTCTTGGGAATAGGTATTGTTTTGCCCGTAATTGATTATGTTTTCCCTTTAACTGCAGGGTTATTATTTGTTATTTTGTTTTGCTTACCATTAAAATTTAAGTCTTTGTGATTGTCCCCTTCACTCTATGGCTTGTTTCTAAGTCTTGTGCTTTAGATGATAGCTTAATAATTGAACTTTATATTGAGTATCAACCTTTTTCTCTTCAGACTGGGAAAATTTCATGAAGTAAAAATTTACAATTTGTTCTTTGCTTGTATGGTCCTTTTGCTGACATCTTACTGGTTTTATTTTGTCTTGTCCCCTGTGACTTCATGCCAGTCATAACCTTTTTTTTTTTAATGTTAGAGAGAAGTTGTAATTATACTGTACTCCTTGATAACAAATTTTTTCCGTCTGCTCGCCTTTGCATTATGCCTAGTGGTCTAGTAGTAAAGGCTTGGAACCAGAGTGCTATGAGTAAGTATCTTTTTCATGTTCTCTTTTGTTTTGAACAGGGGATTCTTACTTTAATTTTTAAATATTTGATAGGGCATTTATGGAGTCACAATTGCCAGCTTTTAAGGAAAAGAATCCTCAATTAGAGGTGGTTACTGAACTCATTCGTGGTCAGCATCCACATCTGAAGGGTTTTTACAGTAAGATTATTGTTCTCACTTGTAACTTTGTTACTTGAAAATTTTCCTCAGCTGTAATTGATGTTTCTCCTATGAAATGCAGAGAACAAAAGAGAACGAGTGATATGTGTGAAGAATTTGGATTCGGAAGACATACTACTGCAAGCAACCAGGCTAAGGAATGCATTGGGAAGGAAGGTAGTGAAACTGAGGACAAGACACGTAACCAAACACCCTAGTGTGCAAGGTACATGGACAACTGCCGTGAAATATTAAGATGGAAAAACCAGGTGTATGAGAAAGTTTCCCTTGATGTTGTTCCATTTCTTTTAGTGATTAATCGATATTTGTAAACTAGTGACTATAAGTTCTCATGCTGTCTGGCACATTTTCCAGTATTGCAATAGTTCAGATGCCTTTTTTTAGGTTTGTCTGTTTGCTTCCTCATGATGAAGCTAATGATAAAAACCATGATAAAAGTGATTATTGGTAATAATATCATTCAGATTCATCGTAGATCTCAAATACGTGAAGTTCTTTTGCCTTGGTAATCTTTTATCATTTAGTAGGGCCTTGGTGTATTTTCTTTGCGAAAGTAAAATTGCACATGGTTACTATATCATAGAATCTGCCTTAATCACCAAAAGATCAAAACTCTAAATTAATCACGTAGACGCTGAAAGCTTTATTACTGCACGTATATATTGAATCAAATATTATAGAACGTTATTAAATTATATTGTACATCCAAATAGTTGCTTCACATTGTAAGGCCCTGTAATCGTTGGTGGTCCATTCCACATTAGCTCTGCTAGTTGGCGGTTTGCTCTCTCAGTGGTATGTGCTCCATCAAACCACACGTATTCAGCAGGGTTACTACATACCTCAAACTTCTCCTTTCCACTAAATCCACCACCACACCCAGATGCTCTATAGGCTCCATTACCACAGCAGGCTACCTTGCCTTCCTTAAATTCTGTACAATGTAGACAACAATGTTAGAATGTTAGAATGAACATAAAGCACCCAGTTATGAAAGCTAAAAATTAGTCATAGCCTACCATATTTGGAAGGCTTGTTGACTCTGCCTAAAAGTGCATTATAGTAATTGAATGTTGAATACTTAAATCCTGGTAACGTGCTCTCTAACTTCTTCAGTGCTACAGATAGAGCTCTGTTATGTTGTCTTGCCATTGCTGATACTACTTCAGCACAGCCACCACCCGGTTGAGCATTCCTTGCTCTATCATTTGGCGTACAGCCCAAAGGCCCTGCATTTTGAAACGCAATTTTCCTGCCTCCTAGGATATATACTTCCTGCCATCAAAATTGAAAAGAAAGAGTTCAATGGAAATGGAGAAATGGGGAGGCATGATTGAAGGGGAACAAATACACATTGGGGTATTGGTCAATTTTTTTTTATTAAATTAAAATACTAACCTTCAGTGTATTGGTCAAGTTGCCAATCACCATCTTGACATATTGGGTTTGGTATGACTGAGTGACATTGGGGTTTTGGTAGTGAAGGCCGATGTAATCGTTGCCTCCCATACTAAACAAGTATACAGCATTGCTCAAAACCTTGGCTTTTTTATCGCCTAGTTCATTTTTTAGTGATTTCACTACTGCCTTGAAGTAGCTCAATTGTGTTGGAAGATTGATCTGAAAAGGGAAATGGTCATTGAGTGCTCTATTACAATACTATGTCGAATTGTTACTAGAACCTGAGTAATACTGCCATGCTGCAAACAGTGCAAGTTACATGGGAGATTAAATTTGCAAGAAACAAAGGGGGAGGATTTATTGAATGGAGTGTATCACTTACTACTTTTGGATTAGTGTGAGCAAGAACGCCTGCTCCAGCTGATGCAAAGTTAGCCCCATTAGTGAATTGGTGGTCACCATTTTGCAGGTATGGTGGAAGTATTGGCAAATTTGCAAATTGAGCTGCAATTTACAATAAATTAGTCAGGATTAAGCATCAGAGTTTTCATAATTGCTGTTGCAGGTTTCAAGTTACTGATAAATTTAGATATTACAGTTTACTGAAACATGAAAATGTAGTGAAACAACAAAGATATACCTATGAAATCAGGGACTAGACGCCCATCAGAGAATCTTCCAGTGGGATGCTTGAAGTAGGTTTCTCCATAAGGCCATTTAGTTGATGGCTCTCTGATGCTTCTGCTGAGGTATTGATTATTTCCAGGATCAAAAAGTGAATCCCCGAAAACAAAGAGGGCCAGATGTTTTTTCTTGTGGTTAGGTCCAGCAGCATAGCAGCTTACTGTGCTGTGAATGAACAGCACTGCACATAACAGAGAGCTCAGGCTTGCCATAACTCGCTCTGTTGTTACTTGCACTCCGCAAAAGCTTCCCAAGCTTCACTTAAATCCTGGTTTTGATGAGTTCTTCTGTGGATTGCTATTGCTACTACAATTATTTATAAGGAGGTTTTTATGAATTCATGAGTAGATTTTTTTCTTTCTTTTTGGAGAAATTATTTTTTAGGCTTTGCTTACTCAAATTATGCAGATTAAGCCAATTATATATTTATATATTATGTTTTATATTAAATAATTATATTAATATTCGTGCTAAAAAAGTAATTTACTTGAATATCAATTTATAATTAATTAAATCCATAAAATTTATATTATTATGTTTTGTTAAGTACTTTTTTTTTTTTATATTGGCATTGTGGTATTTCGTACTTCTTTGTTCTAGGTCCATTTTAACACATTATGTTGAGGTCGGTGTACAAAGGATTTGGTTTACACGTAGGAAAGCTCTGCATATAATCGGTGGTCGGTGTTGTGTTGGCCACTTCACATTAATGCAAAGAGTACAAGGGAATTAATTTGTTAATGCATTAAAAAATAAAAACATCATTAAACAAAAACTATTTTATATTAAGAATTTGAAAAATGTTTTCTAATCAATGTATTTTACATTATATTCCATAATAAGTATCTCTAAACATTTATTAGAAAAATATTTAATATGTGATATATTTTATCATTGGCTCTGCTGGCCACATGGCGATACATAGTGGGAGAATTTCATCAATAACACATCTAGATGGCAATTGAGGAATTGATACAACATATATAGTCACCACACCTCACATAGCCTTAATTTATTTAAAACATATAAAAAGGTGATAAAAATTACAAATACTACTGATATCCGAATAACTGCTTCACATTGTAAGGCCCAGTTACATCTGGTGGAGCACTCCATATAAGTTCAGCTATTTGGCCATTGACCCTTTCAACCTGATGTGCGGAATCAAACCATACATATTCATATGGTTTACTGCACACATAAAATTTCTTTGCTTCTCCACAACCAGTTCCTCTGAAGGGACCAACACCACAACATGCTGTCACACCCTCCTTCAATCCTTTACAAAACATAATCACAATCAGGGGAAGCAAGCATTGATCAATTATAGAAATGCAAACAAAATATTACCTTGGCGAACATTTTAATTTGAATATAACATACCATATTTCACAGGGTTGTTTACTCTGTCGTTAATTGCATTATAATAATCAAATATTGAGTATCTAAGTCCTGGTAGCTCGCTCCCTAACTTCTTAAGAGCTTCAGAGAAAACTTGGTTGTGTTCTCTTGCCATTGCCATTAAATCTTGAGCACAAGCACCAGTACTCACTACTCTACTCTCTGGAGCACAACCCAAAGGTCCTACATTTTGATATGCTATTTTCCTGGCTCCTTGACTATACACCTCCTGTAATTAAAAATAGTATATAATAATAACAAACAGGCTATAATAGTCCAAATATATTGTAGTGTATATATTAGACCCTAAATCTTAAATAATAAAAGAATTTGAGAAAGGGGTAATGTAAGGTTATTTTCCTCACCTTGAACACATTAGTGAGGTTGCTAACAACTTGGTTAATGTATGCCCTTCTGTATGACTCAGTGGTGTTGGGATTTTGGCTATGAAGGGCAACATAGTCGTTGCCTCCAATACTAAACAAGTAAACAGCATTTTCCAAAACTCTCTTGGCTCCTATATCTCCTAGTTCCCGTTTCAGTGACTTCACTACTGCCTTGAAATATCTCACTTGTGTTGGAAGATCAATCTGAAAAGAATAACTATTAATATCTTGAATGTCACTATATTTACAAACGCACATACTTAATGTCTGATATACTAATATCATGTTAAAATATAGGAGCCTAAGATGTCTAATATGACATATTTCACATTCTTGGACATCTCGTGCATATTGTTAGAAAATTTTTAATAAAATGATAATATGATGTGTACTATACATATAGAAATAAGAAATCGCTAATTAGTATACTATATAGATGTTGAATATTCCTATGCCTCTTTACTCAACATCCTCTCTGTGATTTTGTATGAAAAAAGTTGTTAAGGGTAGTAATATAGTCTTATATGAACACATTCAATTGTATTTTGAAAACATAAAGATAGTCTCTTAAAAAACTATAAATAAAATATAACAATATATGAATTAAGGATCGGGAAAAAGGGTTAAATATATGCTTTTTTTTTTTTTTTTTTTTTCTCTTCAATCTGCATTTGTAACTGTATATTTAAACTTATTTATGTATAATTACTTTAGGTAACTTCTTCACCCACTTCTTGATGAAATTTAATTGAGTTAAGGAACCACATACACATGGATTTGAACGAGTGGAGATAACACCAGCTCCACCTGAAGCGAAGTTAGCACCATCAGTAAACCGAGTAGGATGTGGTTGCAGATATGGTGAAAGTATAGGCAAGTCTGCAAAAGTAGCTGCAGCATAAAAAGCACATACAATGATATATCATTATATTAGTTTCAAATATTCAAGTAATGGAAAAAAAGAGATGAAGAAAAAGCTATTCAAAGTAAGAAAACTTCACCAATGAAATCAGGTACTACACGGCCATCTGAGTATCTTCCTGTGGGATGTTTGAAGTATGTTTCCCCATAAGGCCAATGAACTGTTTCCAGTTTGCTGCCACCACTGAGATACACGTTGTTTCCAGGGTCAAAAGGTGAATCCCCAAACACAAACAAGGCTTTGTGTTCTTTCTTTGTTTTGAATTGTGCATGGCACTTTTCCATGATGCAGATGGTTAATAATAACAACACCAAATAACATGTTAGACTAATGGTGGTGGATACCCTTGCCATTGTTTTTATTGGCTTCTCTTTATATGCTTGAGTTGCTGGTTTCAACTCTTTATATACAAAGAGCTTCAGAGAAGGCTTTGTTTCTTAGTTAAAAAAGCCTCACATAATTTGGAATGATCTTTTTCCATGTATGCATACTACTTATTTAATCTATTTGATGGATGCAACTGAAATTTATGATGCACACTAACACTGTTTTTGTAATCCTTACCTTCTGTCTCTTTTCTGGTTATTGAAGAAGATACAAGGAATTTGGTGTAGAAATTAAATGTAGGAAGAGCAGAACTCTTAATTTGACATAGGGGACATAATGTAAGAAGACTTTACATGATCTAGTATAGAAAGTGTGAAAGGATATATACACTAAAGTGGAGGCACTGCGACTTAATGAAATTCCACATTTGAATGAAAAAATCCAAAGTTATTTAGTGTCATTTAAGTTAAGTGGGCCAAATAATAATATATTGCTGCCAGAAAAATGTAATTAAAGGAAGATGAATATGTGATGGCCGAACTAAATTTTTGAATGATTTCTCGCCACATGAAGTACACTTCTATACTTATTTTATATATGAGAGATATACTCATGCAATCGATAGTTCAAAGCTTTAACTAAAGTTTGATGATGACATATAACACATTAAAGGTAATTTAAAAGTTTTATATACAGCCAGCTTTGCCAAATGTGAACAAAAGTGTGCAATATTTTGCCAGAAAATTGAGTTGGCTTTTACTTCAATTAAAACTAAGTTTCTATTAATTTAGACGAGGGGGCATGTTTGATGCACAAGATATGATAAGACCTGATAATATAAGACTTAATAGTATAAAACCTGATTGTATAAGACTTGATTAAATTTTAATACTATCAAGCGTTTGATATGACATTGTATAAAATAATGTGTTGTATAAGATAATACTATTTAATGTTTGATAATGTATAATATTACGTAGGACAAAAATACCATTTAATAAAGAATTTATATAACTCTTCCAAATATGTTATATGATATTAATTTTTATAAAAATCTATTGATCAGTATGTTCAAAGAAAAAAAATATATTTGTAGAATTAAAATTTTTCAATATTTAAAAAAAAAATTCATGACGACTATATATATTATAACAAAACAAATTTATGTAGTTATCCTTTTGCATTTGAACTTTCTCTACCTCAAAATGATAAACTGTAGGTAGCACTTGAACTTGAACATGTTTTTCCAAATGTTTTTTATTTTATTTTTCATATGAATATAATTACTCAAGGTCCTTAAAATATACCATTGACTTAAAATTGGAAGTGGAAGTAGCTTCACAACTTTGTCGCATAAAATAAATAGAGAGAAATCGAGTAGCTTCACAGCTGCAGACCGATGGTGGCAGAGGGAGAAGAGAAGTGAGGGCTATAAAGAAGAAAGATGAAAAGAAGAAAGAGGTAGAAGGGGAAGAGAGAGGTGAGAAGTGATTGACCTCCGGTGATGTAACACCCCGTAGTATTTTGGTATGTTATTATTATGTATGATATTAAGCGCAATTATAATCACAACAGTTCAATTAAGATGCGATTAAACTTTTTTTTTTAAACAGTGCACGTTCCATATTTACAATAATTATCGTATTCAATTTAAACCAAAATTGTAATTGTAATCCAGTGATATTGCAGAATAATTAAATCTAGCTTAAACATATCATACTAGTTTTATTAGATACTACAATGAGATTTTCATACACCCCACAAACTCACTTCATATTTTTAGCAAACTATGCATTTTATTTGACTTTAGTCTAAATAGAAAAATTGTAGATAAAATATTTCGAGTCTGGCAAAGTCTATTAGTTTGGTGTAAATTAAACTATAGGTCTGAATTATATTTAAAAATTAAAAGGTCTAGCCTAAGTGTATTAGCCTATTTAAGTTTATCTAATCTTCAATACCTATCATAGGGGTGTAAACAGGTAAAACAACCTATTAGGAGTCTACAATCAAACCTACATCAGGCTAGGTTTGGCCTACTAAATTTAGTAATTAAAATAAAACAGATTCGGGCATTAAAATAAGCTTGTTTAGAAAATAGGTCATAAACTTATTTGTACTAAGCCTGCCCTACAAGCATACAAATTAGGCCATGGCTTTTGATTTTTAAATTTAGGCCAAGCAGCCCACACCATGCTAATAGGTCAGTGAGGCACAACATATTTTACATAGGTTGGTTCTATTTAGATCAAAGTGTTGTCTGACCCAGCCATTTACATGCTATCAATAAGTAGAAAAAAGAAACAAAATATTATTTAACGGGAAAAGTAATTTTGCCTTTGCTAAAGGAAAGTTTTTCTGCCATATTCACATAAAAGTGAGTGAGTCCCATTAATTTTTTTTTTCTTTTCATTATAATGGGACCCGCAAAGATAGGAATATTAAACCCTTATTTTTTGATTAAAAATATTTAAATAATTATTTTATATATAAATAATACAATATAGAACAATATGTAGACTTAAGCCTTGTAAAAGTAACCCTATGATCTATTTTTTACTCAAATCTTTTGCTGTAATTCAAAAATATAGAAAACAAATATTAAGACTTACTTGACCAACAGAGATTCACTGTGCAAAAGACTAAAGGAGAAATCTAGAGAGAAGTTAGAGCAAAATCTTAGAGAAAAGGTGGAAAGATGGTGTGAAGTGAAAAATGAGGGTATACTTGTGCTAGGTCGTGCCTAATTGGGGCGTGACTACTGACTAGTCACGTCTAAAAAGACATGATTGCCTTATTGGTTGCGCTTTATTGGGGCGCGAGTGGTCATGCCCATTTTGGGCGTGACTAAGGGTGTGCATGACAACTATTCTATTCCCTAGCACTGTTTCTGAAAAGAAACAATTCTTTTCTATTTCTGTGCCTTGGAACAGTTTTTGAGAAAAAAATGTGTTTGATAACATGTTCTATTTTTATTCTGAGAATGAGAATTGTGTTTGATAACACAATAAATAATATAATAAAAAATAATTCCTATTAAATATAATTTTTTTTCAGATCATTACTTTCCTTTTCATATGGTGTGGTTGTGGTGGTGGCGGCAGCGGCGGTACAGTAGTGGTGGTGGCAGTGACGCGGTGAAGATAATGGTGGTGGTTGTTACGACAGTGGTTGCAGCGATAGCGATGGTAATGGTGGCGGCGGCAGCAGTACTGGTGGGGATGGTGGTGGTAGAGGTGACGGCAGTGGCTGCGACAATAGTGGTGGGTATGGTGGTTGGTGGCGGCAACAATGGTAGCCGTGGCATGGTGGTGGTGGTTGTGAAGGCATCATGGTGGTGGCGGCGGCTGCCGCGGTACGGTAGTGGTGGTGGTTGTTACGAGAGTGGTTGCAGCGATAGCGGTGGTAATAGTGGCAGCGACGGCGGTACTGGTGGGGATGGTGGTGGTAGAGGTGACGTAGTGGCTGCGACAATGATGGTGGTATGGTGGTTGGTGGCAGCAACAATGGTATCAATGACATGGTGGTGGTGGTTGTGAAGGCATGATGGTGGTGGCAGTGGCGATGGTGGTGGTGATTGTGGCGGTGGCGGTAGTGGTGGCGATGACGTGGTAATTGTAGTGCCGGGGGTGGTGTAATGGTGGCGGTAATGGCTGTGACGATGATGGTGGTGGTTGGTGGCGGCGGCGGCGGTGACGGTAGTGGCTGCGACAATGGTAGTGGTGGTTGGTGACAGTGGTGGTGATGGTAGTGGTGGCGTCGTGGTGGTGGTAGTGGTGGCAATGAGGGTGGTGGCAGTGGCGTGTGATGGCGATGGTTGCGGTGACGGCAGTGGTTACGATGATGGTGGTGGTGACGGTGATAATAGTGGCAGCGGTGGTAGTTGTGGTGGTGGTGACAGTGGCATGGTGGTAGTGATGAGTGGAGGTGATGGTAATGGTGACGGTGACATCGTGGTGGTGAGGGGTGGTGACGACGACACTAGTGATACGATGGCGGCGACGACGATGGTGGCGGCAGTAGTGTCAGGATGATGGTGGTGGTGGTGATGATGGTAGAGGTGGAGAATGATTGAGAGAGATAAGTGTTTCTCATTTTGTGCCCTGGAACAAAAAAACGGAAATTTTCTAATTCTTTTTTCTGTTCGCCAGCACAAAAATTAAATCGGTTCATCCCGGGAACAAAAAAAAATCGGTTTTACTAAACGAGTTTCCTATCCATTTCTGTTCCGGGAACAGAAATTAAAAAAGAATTGATTCCGGGAAGGTTGTCATACACACCCTAGTGTAATAGATCCATAAATTGATTCCAAATTATTATCTATTCGTAAATATTTATTAAAAAATAATAAATTAAAATTTTTGCCTCATTAATTATCTCCGCTTTCTATTTGCAACCCAAACAGAAAATATTAGATCATAAACATATTTTCTTTCTCTCAAATTATTTCTTTTAAATATTACCTGCCATGATGATTAAGTATCTTGAACCTACTCTCGAGTTAAAATATGTTTAAATTGAACATTACGCAGTTCCATAACAAAATGCAAGTAAATTTCCAAATTGTTTGTCCTGGCATGGGATGTTTAGAGAGGGAAGTTCCTGAAATATTGTGAGAATGGAGAACGAAATGCACAAGATAGAATAGGAAGCTTCATAAGCAATCCATGTAATATAACCTACAGGACTCTACAACATGTTATGCTAGTGCACCATACTCAAAGGATCTTGGAGCAGATTCTTCCTCCTCAATTTTAATTTTAAGAGGATGAGTTTGGATCTGTCATTAAATTGTTCGAATCCAGAAAATAAATATTTTGGATTGGATTGGCTAAATGGCCTTGGCTGACCGTCCTACAAGACCAAAACACTTAAGCACCTAAGTGCACATGGGCCCCTTTACATGTGATTACTTCTCATTTCCCACACAAGCGAGGAGGGTCACTGGTTCAACCAG